TACCTTCACCCTTCACCCTTCACCCCTCCCGCCTCCCACACTCGGATACCAGTTAAATTGTGCATTTTCTTCCAGCACAGGCAGGCTATCATGGCACTAGCCAAGCAGCTCGTGTACGCCAACAATGAGGCGGAGATAGCGACGACGATGGAGCTGGTGGCTACCGAGTGGGGCGAGCGCTACCCACTGCTGGACCAGTACCTGCAGGGTTTCGCTGCCCGCCGTCAAGAGTGGGCGCTGTGCCTCCGCACGGATGTCCCCACCCGGGGACACAACACGAACAACATCGTGGAGTCCGCCTTCAGAGTCCTCAAAGACTCCGTCCTCTACAGGTCAGTCTTTATTCATATGTTTCACCTAATTGCGGTTCAATAAATAAAACAGTTAACCTGGCGTTCATAGACAAACCTGTCTTTTAACTAAAGTTGATTGTAAAACTGTTTCGGTGACCGGAGGTATTGCAATAGATTCATTACTATTTTAAAATATTTCAAGTTGTAAGGTTGCCCAAAAGTGGCAAATGTTGAAGAAATGTCAAAGTTGCAGTTACAGACAAATTCCAATTAATAAAGACAAATAATTGGAAAAAAGCCAAAGCAGGGGAGTAGTTTTTCCTTTCAATATAGGTCGGAGGGCTGAGAGTGAGCCGGTAAAATGTTCTCGAAAACACCATCAAAATCCCTAGGACTGTGCAATTCTCCCCAGTGTCTGCCAAAGTTCAGAGCCTGAAGCCCCCGAAACGGAATTGGACCATACATCCCTTCGTCAAAGACGTTAATTACTAACTTGTGACTTTCATGGATTAACACGGATTAACTTGTGAATATCACGGTTTTACATTTCTGTTAACCCTACATGTGGAAGAAAAACAAACTTTCGCATTTCGGGTAGGTTGTGAAATTGTTAGTTGTGCTTTTGGTTGCTCTTCTGAAAGCCTTATTGTGTCCATACGCTGGCAGTCTACCGTTAATTATAGCTGCAAAGAAATTGTTGAAATATTCGCTTGACACGCGCTGTTTTTCCAGGACTCGGGCGTTCAACCTGCTGCAGCTGTTTGATTCCGCCACGGTCCAGCTCAGCAAGCACTACGCCAGGAGGGCGTGCGACGTGACCAACGGCCGGCAGCGGGCGGCACTGCGCCGGTCCGCGGCGGCACCAGCCAAGAAACGGGCACTGTGACGCAGGTATTTTGCATGACACGAGAACTGATTAAGGTCACATAAGACAGCTCGTTTTCCAATGCTGGTCCCACCCGTACTGCCACATGGCTGTGCAAAGTGACCAATGCAATCGGCGCGCCCCTAAGCACCAATAAACCAAATGGCTGTGCATTCACACACAAGAGTCTGTCACTGTACCGCTGTGCCACTGTAGGGCCGCGTGGTGTTGGCGCTGTGTGCCACATCTCGTGACTCGTTTCGCGTTTTTTTTTTTCTTGTTTCTTCTTTTTTCCCTTTGGGGGTCTGTTTTAAAAGGCCAAGCTGACAGTACTGGGGCGAATGAACAGGTTCGGATTTTCGTACAAGTAACCGTCCGTCAGTTTATGTTGTACAGTCTGTCTTAAAAGTCCGCGAAAAAGCAACGGTGGATCCATCAAGCCTGACCGAGGAAGGGCCTGCTCAATTTGAGTCATCAAAGCAATTGATATTCTCGTCCATTCCCCAGGTCAATTGGTTCGGTGACTTTCAAAGTAAAGCAGGCCTTTCTTCAGTAAGGCTTGATGGATCCACCGTCACTTTGCGCGGTACTTTTAAGACAGACTGTACATACGAATTTTACAGGATTTTATGTGTTGCCCCTCCCACAGGTGACGGAGTTCACCTATCAGGTGAAGTCGCTGACGTCGGTCGGCATCACCTACCTGGTGGACCTGAACGTCGGCGCCTGCACCTGCAGGATGAACCGGCGGACTGGCGGCTGCAAACACCTCCGAGCCGTGCGGCAGCAGACTGGCGCTGTGCCGGAGGCGACGGCGACAAAGGAGACGCGGAGGGCCTTGATGGACATCGCCATGGGGATCAGCCAGCAGCTGCCAGGCAACTGGTTCGACCCTCTGGTCGCCGAGCCGTCCACCTCGTCACCTCCTGGCCCCACGCCCGCCAGCGCCCCCGGAGTCGCGCAGCCCCAGCCGTCGCCTGGTCCCGAGGAGTACGACGACGACGCAATGGACTTCGAGGACCCCGCCGCTGCGGCGGCGGCTGTCAGTGGAGCTGAGCAGCGACGCTCAGATGACCGGACACGCCAAACCGTGGCGTTCATCCAGGAGTGGGCAGCCTTCATGTGCGAGGCAGTCGTCCAGGACGACACCTGGGAGAGGGCTGCCGCTGCCTTCCAGCAGAGGTGGGGCCAGCTGCCCACTGCTGGCCGCCAGTCCGCTCTGCACCAGTTTGGGGGTGCGCAGGGCTGCCGGCGGAACGCCACCCAGATTCCGGTCCAGCCGACCAGCACTGCCCGTCGCACCAGCACCAACGTGCGGGGTCGCGCTCGCTGGCCCGCTGGACGGCCGTGCCGCTCCGCGCGCACCGGGGAGCACGGCTACGTGGCAGCCTCCGCCAGGCGGTCGGCGGCGCCCCACAGCCTGGCCACCTGTGTTGACCAGAACCGCCCCCTGGGGCGCTGAGTGGTAGAGGTGAAGTGGGGGTGACCGGGGCAAGTTGGTGCCAGGGGGGGGGGGGGTAAGTTGGGACGGAAGGGATATTTCCAATACTTCTCGACAGTTGGCGTTCAAACTTATTTTGTACATGCACAGTAACGCCGTCTGTTTGTCAACGTGGTGTCGGCGCGTGCTGAGGTAAGTGCTGTTAATAATCGCTACAAATGTGTTTCAGGTACCAAAAGTGATTTTCTTGCTGTGAAAATATTCTCTTCTAGTGTCGTTGTGTGTGCCTTTTTGTTTGCCGCAGGAGTACTGCAAACGTTTGTGTTTTGTCGTTAATGCCCGCATGGATTAGCGATGATTGTTCATGTGAAACATGAATAAAAATGTGTTTAGATAAACTGTTTTTCCTAGTGTACCAACTTGCCTTAGGCCCTGGCCCAACTGACCCCCCGCCGCGGGGTAAGTTGGGACATTGGAGGATGGCCGCTTTGATCAGATATGACACCAAGACGATGCTACCATCTCTCTTATATTAAGTCTTCTTTAAAAGATAAAGAAATCAGATCTCAGTTAATAGCCAACAAATAATGATGTATAGTTATACCGAAGTTATGACGCTTCAAGCAATAACTGGCTCAACTAGCGTTAGCGGAATGACGCAAAATTAGCAGGTGACCAGTGACCACTCCCAGTTCGCTAATATGTTTGCATCATTAACATACCTTCCACTATAAGCACGGTTTCTCAATCTTAACATAAAATATAACATCTTTTCATGTAATTTGCATCTCTAATATACCCCAGTCAAACTTGCATCACTAATGTAGTGGAGGACTTCTTGGGACGAATTAGTTTCTAGGGACTTACACATTTATGCTCATTTCCCCACATTTGTCGCCAGGGGGAGAATTCCACAGAATTTTCCGCTAGGAGTGGCTGAGCCCTATGGTGAATTCAAAATACGCAGACAGGACGCGGCGGCGGGAAGGTGTTGCCGCGATGCTCTGTTGATCTGAGTCTGCTAGTTAAATATACGTCATGTTGAACGATATCTTTCAACATAACAATTTTCATAACGCAATTTTATTCTAATGTTTGAGTAAAAAGTAACGACTGATAATTTGATAAGTAAGGTCAATAAGCAACTAGCACAACCTAAGCTAAAAACAATTAAGAATCAACTCTGAACCAAATTTGACCAAATCCCATCAAATATCAGTAAATGTGCGTGAAAAAGCTAAAGCTCTTTGTGCGTCTAAAACCTCTTCTGGCAGTGAGGGCGTTGCGAAGTTGCGACATCTGAAGACCGTGCAGAGGTTCACTTATGACGTCATAGGTCAGTGACCTGACCTGACCCGAAAATGCGGTTGGTGTCAAAAGATCCGGCTTGAATCAAAGGTCAGGTATGCCACGTTTCAGCTCTTTATCTCCGGCGTGTTCGGAGCTATCGCGAAAAAAAAACATGGGGGGCGGCACCCACCTCGGCCCCCTCGGCCCCCCTCGGCCACCGAGGGTTAAGCTGGCAGGTATTTTGGGAAGTTCACAACACTGCTTCTTTATCAGCCGTATGAGATACCTACACGTCACAAAGTAACAAGTTGTTCGCGGCATTTACGAAAGTTAAATACCAAGTACTTTGACAAGTTTTCAGTACATTAGCAAGCTTTCAGTATATCAGAAAGTTTTCAGTACATCAGCAAGTAAAAGGTGATACAGCAGACTGGCAGGTATTTTGGCAAGTTCAAAACACTGCTTCTTTATAAGCCATATGAGATAAACGTCACAAAGTAACAAGGTTTCGCGGCATTTACGCAAGTTTAATACCAAGTACTTTGGCAAGTTTTTAGTACATTAGCAAATTCTCAGTTCATTAGCAAGTAACAGGTAATACAGCAAGCTGGCAGGTATTTTGGCAAGTTCAGCAAGTTTGTCGCGAATATCTAAGCTTCTAGACGTCTGATCAGCACGGGACTAACACCAAACGGTCCAAAATCTTCTCCTTTATCATTTTATGGCCAACGCGACGCGTAGCGAGCCAATATTTTTGTAATGTGCTAAGTGATCATTGGGAAATGATTATTGAGCTAATATTGTTGACTTCTACCAGGCTACATCACACATGTGAGCCTCATCTGGCCCTGTGGGTCACATGTGGGCAGCGTTTTACATCTCTATGGGTTGAAGTTGGGAAGACATTTCGGCTCCGCATGGGGCCAAGATGGGGTGTTCAATTTCATGCTCATCAGTAAAACTGAACAAGCTGTTAACATTAACTTTATCATGTGTTGTGGATGGTTGTGGGTTTGTAATCGCTCGTTGCCGTGCCTGGACGCGCCCTTGTGCAGGGCGCTGCCCGGGCACCGCCGTGATTGGCGTTTGCTGTAGGCGACTTGGCACTCACCCCTTTGCGCCTTATGTTTCTTCATCCTGTCGATGTGGTCCTTGAGCTGGATGCGCACCTGCCTCTCAGTCGGCTGGTCTTTGATGAACGGGTGTTTGAGCAGCTGATCGGTGTAGGCGCGCTGGTGGTAGTCCTGCCAGACACAGAGTCCATATATCGGTGAGAGCAAGAGGCCATTGAGACTGAGATTTAATGAGAGCACTGTAGGAGCATGTTGAACGCCACTGAATATACACCCATAGGGGACCACTTTAGAAAGAAACACCCAGATAATGATCGCGACAGGGCTGAGTTAGGAGTAGCTGTGCTACGACGAACTCTAGATCATCCCGATAGAAAAATCACTGAATCACTCTATATCAGGGACAACAAGCCTAAATTAACCCGCGCCCGGCTGGGGGTCCTGGATTTCCACGCCCTGCTGGGGGGGGGTGTTTGAACACCCCCCCCCCCTTCTAACTCGGCTCCTGGGCCACGTAGCGATACGCGGAAGGCGGCGTTCGAAAGAGCGTCAAAAATAATGAGGAAATCACTTCGGTCAATTTTTTGGTCAGGTCAAAGGCCAGGTCACCAGAGGTCATTGAAGGCAAAATTTCGCCGATTTCCAGGTCGAATGTCGAAAACTTCCAAGAAGCCAACGCATAACTCGGGAACCAATAGAGCTACAGCGCCGCGGAAAAGCGCATTCCATAGCCCTATTAACGCCCTTTCTGAGTAATTCTCTCAGATTTGACCTAACGTCAACGGTTTTGCCTGCAGGGGGCAAAAACTGCAAAAATAGCCGGTTTTTCGAAAACAGTTTTTCTGCAATTACTTTTGACCCAAGCCTTGTACGAGCTTACTTTTACCGGCATCGTGTTCCTCTCGTCAAGACGCATCGAATGAACTATAACTTGACCTTGAAAGGTCAACTTGAAAATTTGACCTCAGGTCAAGGTCATGACCTGACCGGAAAGGGTCATGTTGCATATCAGTCGATCCGTATCGTCGAGCTGAACACTTCTAAGGCGTTTTCATCGCTCTAGCATGCCTCTATCAAAAGTTATTTGCGAAAAACTGTTAGATACCATTCGTGACCTAAGATGACCTCAGGGCATAAACAAGGGTCACGGACACCATTTTCAAGTTCAGTGTGTCTAAAACACTTGTAATTCGGTGTTTGGGAGTGTTTATAATGTTTTTCATCCAAAAGAGGCGCATTTCAATTTGCTCCCATTGACTTATAATGGGGAGATCGCAAAATTGACCTGACCTTAGGTGATTGATATCAAAATTCTGAGATATACATTTTGTACATGCTATTGCTCTTAGCAATCGCTGAAAGTTTCAAAGCGATCGGTCACTCGGTGTAGCTATGACAGACTTTGAAAGTTTTTATGAGGTGAGGTCACTTCAAGTGACCTGGTGACCTGACCTTGAATGACCTTGGTCTGAAATTTTCACAACATGTGTAGAATTGATGTATGATAAGGTGTACCAAAAACGGCGGCGCGGACGCCGTTTTTGAGATATTCACGAAAAACCACAAGGGTGGGTGTTCAAACCCCCCCCCCCCCCAGCAGGGCGCGGGTTAACCAGCATTGTGAAATATAGAATTATCAATATATCGCTCAATCGCGTTTGCTTTGTAGGTATCTCATCAATGGAGCACTGTGTGACAGATGCGTACCCGAAATTCTTCTAAATAAGAGTTATCCTTCCTTTTGATTGTACATTTTTTTTTTTAGAACTGCATAATGTCTTGATTATTTCTTGATTTATATATCATTTGATAATGTTTTTCGTTTCTTTTTTGATATTAGAATTAAATTAAATGTCTTCTGAGTTTCCTGTTAAGCATTTGATTTCGGACAGTACAAGCTGCATAGGTATGTGTTCATAACCCAAGGTTTATTGTTAATACTTAAAACACTATTCGTTAGCGGTTACAATTGTGTTTTTCTATGTAATGAAAACCAAATCTGAGTTCCCTGACAATTTGGCAAAAGCTGCCTGAGATCAGTACAACTTGATGCTCGAGAAAACAGCTGTTCCAAAAAATTCTGTTTTTTCAGGATTTCTAGTGGGCCAGGTGATCTAGATTCTGGTATGGGTCTCTACTCCGGGAACGATCTGGTGCACGTGCCACGTGACTTTGAAAATTTCCATGCTAAGTCAATGGGGAAAATGAAAAAAAATTGCGTTCCGCGGCAGATTGCTCGAAAACGATCCAAAAGACCCCCATTTTCTTCCATGCGGATCAACCACCATTCGGTGCACTACCCATGGGTATGTCACAAAGTGGCCGGAAAAGTCCAGAACCACGTGCCACGTGCCGTTGAAAATGACCCTGCACACCGAATATTTGGACTTTAGGTCATTTCGGCACACCCGCGAAGCAGACTATGGCGTGGGTGACCAAACAATGGGTGTCATCTGGTTGGCAACTGTTTAAGGTGTCGTCCAGTGTGGGTCGAAGTGGTAGGGAAGACCAAGGAGATATGGGCCGGTTTTGCGCAAAAGCTATTTTCTTCCAGTAAGCAGTGGCTAGTACCGATTTTTTACTCTGTGTACGTGAAATTGCCTTTCTCCTGCACAGTGTGCCTGATATTAGGCATCTGGGACCAACTATTTTGCCTCGAGATAACTTTCAATAAATCATGCGCTTTTTCGATCCACCAAAATACACCGGGAGGTATGTACCATGGCCCGGGAGGTATGGGCCGGTGCCATGTTTCATATTTTTTTCTCGACAATGAGAACAATACTCGTAGCTGGTATCTACATGAATCTGTCTTAGAGCCCAGGAACCGCATAAGATGCCATCAGCTGTTTTTTTTCATGGAGGTCAATACGGCACATATGCATTTTGGTAAACTCAATCATGCTCCACGAAATAAGATAAATTGTATTTTTCTGTTTGAATGAACTTTGTAGTTAAATTTTCGACCTTGCGCGACAAAAATGAAACTTATTGAAGAACACAATCAATGAAAGCATCATTTTATTGATTTAGGATCAACTGTGGCCCGTCCTCCCGGGGTCTGTGGCCCGAACCTCCCGGTTAGGACGCCCCCAGAATGTGCGTAGCATCTCAGCTCATAATCTTGCAAAAAAGCTTCAAATTGTCTACCCAGTTTTAATTTGCATGCTTTAAACTTTATGTTAGCGATGGTCCGATATCATAAAACGAACCTGGTTCAAATTTATCACGAATTTTCTGTATGTACCGTATTTTACTCGAAGAGGGCAAAAACACTTTATTATTATCGCTCATTGCCAAAGAAGACCAAGCAAGAATTTGGAAGTCACGTGGGTTGTAAAACGGAATGGCTGCTACCAGTGTACGCGGTCAAGAGTGTAAAAATACGCAACACTTCTTCAAAACTGCGATGGCCCATACATCCAGGGGGCCCATACCTGCCGGGTCTCCCCTAGTTCCAAACTTTTGGAATCCACCATTCTGAGGATTCTCTTTGACAATTACCTACGTGTCTTGGCGCAATGTTTATTAGTCCACCCAGCCGGTCATCAATGCGTTAGGTGACCCAAATGAAGATTGACCTGAAAGAAGTTGGGGGCGAGGAACACGCACGTGCCATCCGTTTTTAGTTGGGCGCTTCCATCTAGGAGATTTTTGCAGATCTTTTTGATTTGTGAAAATGACCAAAAAGCTACTGAATCTCTGGACTCCTAGCGGTATGCCAGTCGTTGCGTTGGCGTTTCGGGCGTGCGTTTTGCGCGTTTCGCGATGTTTGCGTTTGGCGACGGGCGGTTTTGTTTTTTGCGTCGTTTGCGGTGTTAAATTTGTTTGCGGTTGGCGGCCGCTTTTCGTTTCTTTTTTTGCGGTGTTTGCTGTTGGCGGCGGGCGGGCGATTTTTTAGGCGTTTTCGATGGGCGGTTAGCGGGCGTGCGATGCGGGCGGTTTTATTTTTTGCGGTGTTTTTGCGTTTCTTTTGCGGTTTGCGGCAGGCGTGCGCTTGTTTATTGTTTTTGTTTGCGACGTTTGCGTTGGCATTTGGGGTGTGCGTTTTGCGCGTTTTACGGTGTTTGCGTTTTGCGGGGGCGGGCATTTTTTGTTTTGTTTTTGCGGTGTTTGTGTTTGGCGGCGAGCGAGCGGGCGATGCGGGCGTTCTGTTTTTGCGTCGTTTGCGGTGTTAAATTTGCTTGCGGTTGACGGCCGCTTTTTCGTTTTTTTTGCGGCGTTTGCTTTTGGAGGCGGGAGGGCGATTTTTAGGCGTTTTCGGTAGGCGATTAGCGGGCGTGCGATGCGGGCGGTTTTATTTTTTGCGGTGTTTTTGCGTTTCTTTTGCGGTTTGCGGCAGGCGTGCGTTTGTTTATTGTTTTTGCTTGCGACGTTTGCGTTGGCGTTTCGGGCGTGCGTTTTGCACGTTTTGCGGTGTTTGTGTTCTGCGGCGGGCGGGCGTTTTTTCACAATTCAAATTCCAAACCTTCGGGCCACAGCGCTCTTCGAAAAGCGCTGCCCTAGAGTATGTGTCCTAATTAGTAGCCTGTTACCTTTTTTTGCCTTCATCTAGTTCCATGTTTGTTATACCCCGCCTTCCTTTCCGGTAAAACTTTCCTTTGTATTTGGTAAGTTCCTGAATCCTTCGCATGTTTTTCTGTGACGTTGTGCTGCCATGTGTAACCGCGCCGATTTCGCTTTGTTTTGTATTAATTTCCGCCTGTTGCTGACCTGCCGCCGAGCTGTGAAGACCTGCCAGTTGTCGTGTGCTACCGCCTTGCCTCATCACCGAGTTCGCCAGAGTGATTCAAATATAAATATGTAAAGTTTGCTTTCTTTTCAAGTTTTCTGAACCGGCCTTTTAGTTCAACTTTTATAACATGGTCCTCCGGGCCAGATGAAGATTTAATTTTGCTGTAACTTTGCTTGTTTGCTGATTTGTGATCTTTGAGTGTGCAAGATTGAAGATGGGAGCAGATAGTGAGTCTGACCTGAAGCAGAAGAGGACCCAGGCCAGAGCTAAAGCCACCAGACTGCTCAAGGAGCTGGAAGACTGCGATAAGACACAGGAAGATGACCTGGCACTCGCCATTCACCACCTGGAGGAGCACATCAAGGTGATGTCTGAAATGCAGGTTAGTTTGCATAAACTGTCTGTGCCTGATGAGTCATCCCACATGCAGGACATG